ACAGGAGCATATTAAATTTGAACTGGGAAGCAGCAGACAAATGTATTTCATCTCATTCCTTGTCCCAATTACTTACAAATAGGTATTGCTGAATCAGTGGCTTGGATTACACAAATCAGAGATCTTGAAGATAATCGGAGAGCTTTTCCAGAGATACGTGGTGGTCTAATTTGTGAACCTGCCCAATGGGTTGGTTGCACGCTTGCCTGTATAGTATTTATATGAACATTTTAGCAGTGTAATATATTGTTTCAAAGTTTTGTCGTGTACAATAGAAGTATTATCTAAAGGTATTTTTTTAAAAACCCTGTATGAAATGCTGTCCTGGTTTCAGCTGGGATAGAGTTAATTTTCTTCTTAGTAGCTGGTATAGTGCTGTGTTTTGGATTTAGGATGAGAATAATGTTGATAACACACTGATGTTTTAGTTGTTGCAATGTTGTGCTTACACCAGTCAAGGACTTTTCAGCTTCTCATGCTCTGCATGGCATACAAGAAGCTGGGAGGGGGCACAGCCAGGGAGCCTGACCCAGATTGGCCACAGGGCTATTCCATACCGTATGACGTCATGCTCAGTATATAACTGGGGCGAGTTGGCCGGAGGGGAAGGGATTGCTGCTCGGGAACAGGCTGGGCATCAGTCAGGGGGTGGTGAGCAATTGTGTTGTATATCACTTGCTTTGTACATTATTATTGTATTATATTATTATTATTACTACTACTACTACTATCATTCTATTTTATTTTACTTCAATTATTAAACTGTTCTTATCTCAACCCAGGAGTTGTCTGATTTTCACCCATCCAGTTCTCTCCCCCACCCCACTGGGGGGGAGTGAGTGAGCGGCTGCATGGTTCATAGTTGCTGGCTGGGGTTAAACCACAACAAATGCCTATGTTATTCCAGGTGTCTTTTAGGTCCTAAATAGACACTTGATTTCCGTGTCTGTTTTAAACGCTTGGGTGATGTCTTAGTATAGTACCTCTTTACTTCTTCTGTTCAGCCACAATCATTGTCTTAACCACAGAGGCACAGGAGTGTTGCACTTCTCAGGCAAGACTGGAAAGCTTTTTTGGGGGGAAATAGAAGGTATAGCAACTTGCATGATGGTTTTGAGTTAGCTATGTAAATTTTCATGGCAGCATTTCAACTTTTGTGCTGGCTTGGGAGTTAAGCGTTGCTTTTGTTGCTTCTCCAATGTCATGTTTTAATTCTTCCTGAGCAGCACGTACACCACTCTCCCATTAGACTGGCTGTTTAGTAAGCTGTTCCCTCTTGCGCCATGCGTGCAGTCTATGTCACAAGCATTGATTGTAGGTTTTACAGCTGTCCGTTAGCTGCTACAAATATCATAGCTTGGTCTTCATTACCAACTTTGTGTTGGTGTCAATGATTAAACTTTTCAAGATAGGTTCATTGGTGTTGGCCGAGCATTTTCTTCTTTGAAGACAGACCTCCTTTGACAGACCGTCTTGGACTTCCAGGTGCTTTAGAGAAAGTTAGTCTTTGAAACCTGTACTCCAGTAGCTTGTAACAACATGTGTTGGATGCTCCCACACCCTTGCAGCTTCTCGTGCTTAGGCAAACCCACAGTTTAGGCAGCTTAAATACTACGGATCGTGTTTCCTTAGCGTTAGCAAGGCAATGAGCTAAGAGCAAAGAGCGCATGGACACTTACGCATGGGTGAAAGGTGCGCACCTGAAAAACTTCAGAGACGTGGCGCTTTCATTGCTAACACTGCAGACCTCCCTCTCCCTCTCTGTGGACCAGCTCTTGCCTGAAACCCAACACAGCACTGTCCTATCACTACGCTTAACATGTCATCATTGCACTTTTATTTACTTTTTGGCTCAAGTCAAAAAAAAAAAAAACAAAAAACAAAAAACCAAACTGTAAATGAAAAGCAACAAGTGCTATTGAGCACTTGCTGCTGCTGCTTCATGTCGCTAGGAAACAGACGCTGCTCTGTGATGTCACGGCAGCGCAGCATGGGCGTCACGGTGATGTTTGAGAATTTTCGTTGGGGTTCTCAGTCAGCCGGTCACTTCCTTTCAGCTGGCTGTCTGGCAGGACAGTCTAGCGGCGAAGGTAGATGGCTTCAACTGAACAATTTACTCAAACTGAGAAAAGAGAGTTTAAAATGGAGCTTTCCTCACAGGAAACTTCATGTGCTTCTGCTCAGGCCAAGGGAGTCGATTTGCCAGGCTCGACTCCTCTCCGTCCAGCACGTGGCAAAAGAGCAGCTAATGACGCTGCTTTTGGACCTCCAAGAGAAGAAAGGGCTTTACAAACTTCGGCTAAGCGACCCCAGTCAAAAAGAGAGCATCTAAGCTCATCTGAGGAGAGCTCTAGCGATACCTGGACACGTCTCAGAAGCTACCTGGACACTTTCTGAAGAAGCTCTGGGACATTGTTGAAAGCCATCAGTTCGAGTCCATTTGGTGGGGGGACAACGGAAAGTGTGTCGTGATTCATGAAGAACTGTTCAAAGACGAAGTGCTAGCAAGGAGAGGATATCTGAGGATTTTTGAAAGTGAGACCATGAGAAGCTTCACTCATCGCCTCCATTTGTATGGGTTCGCCAGAAAGCTGTGCGATTTTCCAAAATCGGGCTCGCACGATGACCTGCTAGCGGAAGAAACAGCTGGGGAGGTATGTTGCAACCTTGACGTGCAAACTAACTCTCAGAATATTCTAGTGGGACAGATTTCTGTTCCAATGAAATAAGCCTTTACTACCTAGGAGATGAGGATGGTAGTAAATGTTCTGTCATTTGTTTCTTGGGTCATGTTCCGGAGGTCTGGAGGCAGTATTTCCCAGTAGAAATGCTGATAAAATATTACGTTGGTTGTTTCCAGTTACTTTGAGCACATAAAATGAGAAGAGATTCTCATCCTATCGGGATTTTCTTTTGGTATTTGCTGTGTGTCTTGCTGTACCAGATGTGCAGTTGTCTTGTGGCATTTGCTGAAGGCTGAGAAGGTAGTGTCAGCAGCCTATAGTTACCTACCTGGTCATTCCACACTAAAGTTGCTGAAAAGGACTGGTGTTTGGGTTTCTAAGTCAGTTTTTATGCTTTTGAAAATCCTACGCTTCTCTGCTGCCAAGTGGCAAAAGCACAAGGCTGGTTACTACTTAACAGGACTGGATTGCACCATTTTATTCAGCCTGAACTTCAGGTTTAGAACGCCCCTGACGGTCCTTTTTAACATCCCTGTTTCTCTTTTGCAGTTGAAATTCTTAGTTCTCATATCTCTGCCCTTTCCCGTCTCAAGGTGATGGCAACTAACTCTTTTCCTTTGCATTTTTAGTTTCACTTCTACTACAACCCAAATTTTAGAAGACATTGTCTGCACCTGCTAGTGAAGTGTAAGCGAAGCTCTAGTCCAAAAAATCAAACACCAGCAGGTTTTTCACCGGACACGGATCTGCATGCACGCCGCCGGAAAAGAAAACCAGATGCTGAGCTTGCGTGGGAACCCGCTGCCGAGGAGGAGGAGAGCGCTCCCTTCACAGCAGCTCCAAGGGAGAACACGCACGCCTCTGCACCCAGCAAGACCGCACCTGCCAAGCGACCCGCCAAGGCAGCTGCCCCACTCAGGCCTGCCTCTCCGTCTGCGTGCACCGCTGCTCTGACAGCAGGAGGCAGGGAGCAGCTCAATCCTCTGCCCCCCTCCCTTTTGCTGCAGCACAGCAGCCCCGGCCCGGCTGCCAGCCAGGGCGCTGCCTGCGCTGCTGCTTCACCAGGTCGCGCCGTGCCCAACAGCCACTTTCCACTGGGGCTCCCACCGCCCCCCTCCCTAGCTGTGCTGGCAGCAGCCGCTGCTCTCTCTATGCCAAGGCCACCTTGGGGCCACGCTCCCCCCTACCGCCACTGCCCGGGTGGCACCTGGGCTCCAAACAAGGGAGCTGCAGGCAACGGCCTTGGACCCCAGCCCGGGCCACGCTAGGTACCCTCCACAGCTCTTCTAGAAGTTGCATAGTCCGAGGGAATAGAGTGTTCCTAAGTGTTCCAATAAACTGTCTGAATACAAAGCCTCTGCCAGTTGTCCTGTCCTGTTTTTATAGCCATGCCTGTGCCTGGCCTTGGGCCTTGCTCCAGAAAGTCAAAAGGACTTTCATTCTAATGCAGAGTGTGAATTCTGAAAAAACTCTCAAAGTGCCAAAATCGGTGACTTCTATTTGTTACTCTTCACGCTTGCCTTTAATTCAGTATTAGATTTTCAAAGCTCACTAAGATTCTTCGTCTCCAATGAGAGAAAGAAATATTAGAATACTCGCTTCATTTAATTGTGTACAAGCACCTTCTTTCTAATAAAGGCCCTGCTACAAAGGCTGTTAGGTCACACAGCCGTATACTGCGGACTGCTTCCCCCCATTTTAGGCACATCTAATGGACCTATCGTGTCCATGAGGAAGATCTGGTCCTTGCGGTAAGTTTTACACTTACAACACGTAACGTGCTCCATGCGCAGAAACCTCGCCCAGCAAGCCTCTGTCTGAGAAGCCCCTCGGGCTGGCCTTATCTCAGATGATTTCTTTCTCAGTGATCCCACAAACGTAAGGTTAGGAGTGGGCTGTGAGACCAATGGCACATTACTGATGGCAGCCTGCTTTCAAGCACCATTTTTCTGAAGGCTCCTACAAACTCCTTCTTCCTCACGTCATCAGAGATGCATGCATCATATAACATGGTTGTAGTTACTCATGTTTCAAATTGGCACACAACACATCAACCGTGGCTTACAAAAAATACCATTTACTTAAAGAGTTATTTATAGAGGAAAAATATAGTAAGCCACTACTCATGTCCAGTAACGGTCATAAAAATGACACCTTGTTTCCTTTGTCTCAGTAGAGCAGTTCATCAAATATATTTGCTATTGCAAACAATTACTTTTGGAAGGGAATCCCAAACAACTCACTGGTATTCAAGATGCAGACTTGTAAATCACAAGTTTGCGTTCAGGCAGGAAAAAGAGTAGTGAGGGCCAAGACCTACGCTTCTGGAGGGATCAGTTCTTCGGGGATGTCCACCTGCCACACGCCTCTTCTCCCTCTGGCAGGAATCGGTTCCAGAAGCCATCTTGGGTTTGAAACAACAGTCAAGTATTTCTGTTCCAGATGACTGAGGACAGCTTTATTTTCCAGCTCCATGACCTTTTCAGGAGGCAAGGTTTCTGGATACAGTGATGTCTCGCCAATGTCAATTAATCCTGCATTATAAAATTAAAATATACCATCAGTTGGCTCTTTGATCTGCTGGAGAAAAGCTTTCCAAAAGCAAACGTTCCAGAGGACGCGCCGAACAGCTCACTTGTTGCCAGAAGAACACAGCATGAAGCACGCACACCTCAAACCTGTCTCATTCACTGCTGAAGATGGCCCGTGCCACTGAAGAACAGGTGAAGCGTGCAGTTCTCATATTCACAACTCAGTGAATCAGAATCCTGTTAAAAGAAGCCTGCAGCTAAGGAGATACAGCTGCTACCAAAACTCCTGAGCCACATCTGGCCTTGAAACAGCTTCATTAAAAAGAAAACTCTCTCTGCTCCTATCAGGACGCTACTCTATTAACATTTTAAAATCATTAAACTATATGGAAATTCCTGCTCTCTGGACCCCTTTTCACGTCACAAAAGGGAATTTCCGTATTGCTTAATGATTGAAAATGTTAAGATACAGATCAAAGAAGCTTTGATACCTACTCCACAATTTAGCATGCAATTTATGTCAAGCTTACAATCTGCATATTACGTAGTACCTAACGATTTTCAGCACTGTAGAACCAGAACAGTTTTTCCGTGTATGTGATAGAAGTAATTTGTTGTGCAGGAATAGCTAAAAATATTCAAATCAGAACGCAAGACAGATGGTGTAACAAAAGATACCTACAAGAAGAGAGTGCAAAATGAGTGCTGGATAAAAACTTTTAAAGTATACAGTGCAGCAACATACATTGTATTTCAGCACAATGTAAGCAAAGAAACACCACTTCCATCCTAACTTTGTGTTACAGAAACAAACTTCTTCACTGCCCCAATAAGAGCAGCAACGGAGCAGTTGTAGAACTGAAACAGCATTTATTTATGTACCACTCTAACATGACATGCGAAGCACTGCAACGTGACGACTTCACTTGACTACGAGTACTGTAGAACGGTTTCAGCAAGAGTTCCTAAGCTCAAAATGCAAAAAGTGCGGAACTGACATTTATTATCACGCAACAAAATAATATACAACCCATGTTATACCATCTTACTGCATGACGAGGCAGCACAAATCAATTGTATTACTTGTACAGACTTTAGAGTTGTAGCCTAAACTTTTCAGTAGAGCGAGTGTATTTTAAAAACTGAGGGCTGACTAAAATTCTTTATCCTGAAGATCAAAGATACTTCACATTTCCAACACAGTGACAAAGAATAAATTTTATTTACAACTTCCCTCACCGATCTCCGCTTACAGTGACATGGAATCGAAATAGCCCCCAGCCACAGCTCAGGCACCACTCCTTCAAAGTAAGCGTTAAAGCAATGTTATAATAAGCATAACTGCGTAAAGCAGATGTGTACTGGACTGAAGCAAGTTAACAGATTGAAAGCTCGCTTGAAAAATATAATCCAAGGTTGCTTACCTGCAATAACTCCTCTGCCGAATTTTTCCCCTTTGTCCAACAGATCTTGCACTTGTTTTGGTGTCATACCAAACCTATTCAGAAGAATTGCTCTCCATGTTTCATCTTGCCAGTCCTGAACAGCTATATGAACAGCAACGGTGCAGCTCCTGTAGTCTGCTAGCAAGGGACGCCAGCGAGTCTCTACTGTTTTGACTTGGTTCAAAACTAATCCTGCATAGGGCTGCCGGAAGGAAAGGCAGCCAAATTTCATCGCTTTCCTCGCATCAGAACCCGTCCATTTCCTAGGAGCAAACAGACACCCCGAGGTCAGCCTTCACAGACGCGCCCGTCACCGTGACAGACGAACAGGCCTGCCTCGGCGCCCGCCCCGGCCCGCAGGGCGCTGCGCTAAGGCGGGCTGGGCGCTGCCTCCCGGCGGGCGGACTTCCCACCCCGCGGGGCCCCGGCTTGCGAAGGCCGCCGGCC